ATAGACAAAGTTCACAGAATGCATATGCAACCGGTGTTGAATGTTCAGATCAAGTCTATCGCTGAATTATCAGCATGCAAATGGAATGCTTCATATAGATCAGTTGAATACGATTGAACAATCGCGAACGACTAGCATAAATCGCTAGAAATCATTGCGTTTCACTCCGAGAATATCAATATCCAGATGGTGGTTTTCATGAAGTCGCCAGTTCTAAGCAACTACTAACTCACTTAATTCTAATAACTGACAAATGGAAGATCACTGAAAATACGAAGCTCATTTTCCTAATTGAAAACCACACTTTACTTCATTCTGAACAAAGCAGTTCTATCAAATGAGATCAACACATTCAAAGTTTTAACGCTATTTACTCTCCAGAAGCTCTTTTCCCTTTTCAATTTTATCCTTCCTTTTCCACGATGACAGCGAAAGCTCGAAACATATATTAGCACTGAATTTATTTCTGTTGTCTCACGGAAAATCTCCTCGCAAAAATAGTTTATTTCTTGTATCGGCATAAAAATTCTACAAATTCGAAACAATAACAACAATGCAAATCATGAAACAATAAACGTTAAACCATCAAAATATCCTACAGTAACATTATATCCTAAATTATATTCAGATACGTACATACAACAGCCAAGTTTATCTGCCATACACAACAATGCACAGGACAAGCTGACAAGAAAATCCACATTCTTGATGCTCTTACAAGGCTATCGTCTAAAAACAAATCGAGTGACAATTTCAATCCAATCAAAATTATCACTGTCCTCTCTTTTAAGAGTGCTTGTTCCCATTGAAGAGCACATTATTAGGCATATATCATCACATAAGAATGTATCATTCCGTCATAAATTACACATCATCACATGATCATGAGGCTCGAAGTTCATTTTGAGAAGGTTCAGTGCCTGACTGCAATAAACGAGGTGCCGAGGAGACAGTTGCTGCATTCACAATCAAATCCCATGAATATGATGAACACTTAACAGGCGACGGTAATGAAACACCACGAAAATGATACTGTGCATCCACGTAATCCACCTGCAACACCGAATTCACATCAATGGAGTTATCGCGAGTTATCAGTTAAAATAAACTCGATAGGCATTAAATGGATGTGATCACTTGCATTGTTTCCAACAGATATCAACTAAACATTATCAAATCGACAGAAGTTTGAAAAGAATTCATACGTACTCTATCCGAATTCTCAACAAAGACTGCTGTATTTGGTTAGAAAAATGTTTAACTAACAATAAGCAACAAAAACTCAAATGAAAATCTCATTCGCCAATATATCTATATCAAAATCAAAAACACACACGTGTTAACTTACCCCAGTGACTGCAAAACGTCCAATTTGCCTCGTGTTAGAAATCACTGGTCCTTCAACTACATCAACATGTTCGCCGACTTTACAAAGTATCACATCGTCATCTTCGTGATTCAATATACAATCTGCCTTCCTTCTGAAATCATCTCACGTCTTAAATGTCTAAATTTAGACCCGAAGGAATGTCTCATCTTGCAATGGTAAACCAAACAAATATAGTGATTCGAACTGATGTCTTATTGAAAAACCATAAAACTAACTGATTTTCAGCGAATAATTCCGCAGCGAACATCCTCGGCACACGAATCGGTTCAAATGGTAACGCTTTGTAAATATAATCGCGAAATACTTTACGTGTCAATATGTCGAGTTCAACCTGAACATTACATAATTGAAAGCGGAACAGAAATCAAGCGTAAGACTGAAATAAAAATAGTTCAATGTAGACGTTTTGAAACAGCTACTGCAGTACCACGAGAACAGTCTTACTTAATGGACAAGTGTATAATAGCGAAAAGAGTGCCCATATTCGTAGAATAGCAATAGAATACCAAAATACTTACTGATTATGTGCCTACTAATATTGCCATATAAAAACTAGACCTTCATATTCCATGAAAGAAGACAATGTTGCAGCTAACTGAATGAACATTTTATTATCTGAAAACAATTACCTGTGAAGGTTTCCAATCGTGTAATTCGTCAATACAAGTAGCATATATGAATCGTCCACTTTCCACTGAAATTTCAAAGATAAAACATCAGACACAAACAGTTCCTTACGTATGTTTCATCTAACACGAGGAAAAGGCGAATATCAGACGAAACTCAAACAGTACACCGGCTCCATCACAAACAAACAATCAAATTCACTTTTCAAAAAACACAGAAACATACCTTTGCAGGGCAAAGCACCAATAATGGAGACATCCGCTCGTAACGACGTCTCGGCTAAAGCGCCTAATAAAAATGCACATGAACGCCAATATGCCTGGAATGAATATGAATTCATTTCCTTGAAAAACTAACGATTAAACAATTTGCATCTGAAGAAAATACACTTATTAACTATAAGTATCAAGAAAGAATTTCAAATTTCGCCACCGTGTTAACATGATCAGCGTAATCAGCCGTGTTGAAGCTCAGCAGTTTGATTTTTGATTTCCCGTCGACGGTTGTATGCGGTGATGCGAAATATTCGCTTGCATCACCTTCTTTGGTCACATGAACTAAAGCCGTATTGTCCACTTTCAAACGCGATATATCTGAAATCGTAGTTATACTTTCAGTACGCCCAGTTGAATGCTTCAAATACAATCAGAGTCATTTAATTGTTTACGAAAAGATACAAGTTTTCATCAAAAAGGAAATTTGACATCTAAAAAAATAATATTGAAAGAAGAGTAAAAATAATATGGAAAATAAGATGCTGAAACGAACGTTTTGCACAATCGTGAAAAGTTGATAAGTGGTCATTCATTAGCAAATGCCGTTCGGTTTCATCCTCTTGCTGAACTGATACGATCACCTGTAAATGGTAGCTAAACATCGGATTGAATAAGTCTCATGAACTATGGAAAATTCAGTCTCTTAAGTCTTCAAACACTCGAAACTTCAGCTAATTTTTCGAATATTTACAACTAATTTTTTCGGCTGAAAAAAAAGTTGACTCAAAAAGGACTAACTTTCTCAATTGAAATGCCATATTTTTGTTGCTGCTGTTCACGTTCAGCATTGAAGGCTTCCAATCGTCTTTTGCGAGCAGCTGAAGATGCTGAACGAAATGCTGAAAAAAGATTCCGTTTCACTAACGATAAAAGAACTAAAAAATGTTCATTTTCATGACAGAACGTCCCATGTTTACGTGCCAAAAGCATTGCATGGGTTCTCAAAATCACAAATTTTTATGTCCCGAAACTTACTGTATCCGATCTTAGCTTAAAGTGTCACCAAATGTTCAAATGCACTAGCTGAATTGTTCTAGTCATAAATAATTGTAAACTGTTCCTCACGGCACACGATTAATATCTCATTGGAATCAGGTAAGATAATACCAACCTGTAAGAATGCATTTATGTAAAGTAGGAGACGTCGTCGACCATAACAACGTCGCTGATTTCTCCAATAACATATTCGGAAAAAGAAATAATCTGAAAAAAGTACAAATGTCTGAAAAAATCAGAGCAAACTCGTCGAGACGGTTAAATATACTGCACAAAAAACGGAGCGTGAAATTGCCAGGTTTGGGCCAGCGGGTCGCGCCAACAGCTGCCGAATGGACCAGGAATCGTTGTGCCTTGCCTTTCCACGACCCACTTATCAATACCTCTACTTTATCACGACAACTGTTCACCAGCCCTTCAAATCTTGGTCTAGCTCAGTGATCCTGGCCTGGTTCGGCGATTCTTGCCTTAATCGAGTCCAGCAAGCCTTGACTCGATTAGGAAATCCTGTTCCGGATCAGTGACTCGAATTCGGGAAGCAACTTCACACTTCCATAAAACATCACTGTCACTTTAACATTTTCATTTAAAACATTTTCTACAATTGAAAACCGAAAATATGCAGTATTGAGTTGCAATGAACGTAAGCTGAACTCTGCTCGTTCGTACTTCGTCGATCGGCGCTGATGTAAGATAGACTTTGTAGTTTGTACACTATTGTGCAAAAGGGCAATCGTTTTGCGCAGATAAAGGTGACCTTTTGTTGCTGAAGGGATTTCCTTCCGATAATTTCTTATGTGTAAACAACTATTGATGAGGTGCAATCTTAAGATCTAATCAGCCAGTTATTTCAAGTCAGCGAGCATGGTCGTTTTAGAGGTTTTCGTCTGTATCGTCATTCTTTTCGCTCTTCTTCTGGTGCTCTTCATCGGATTCTTTGCCGTTTCAGATTCTACTCTGAATCTCTTCATATGTGAAAAATTCGGCTATTCTGAAGGTATCAAACTCAAAATTTTCCATTTCATACATAATATCTGCCTAGAAGCTGGCTAATTTCAATGACTATTTCCAGAAACAAAATAGTTGCTGGCTTTATGCTGCCCATATGAAAAGATTATCTTTGGAATTCATAATCTTTACATGTTTAGCGATGCTTCTACCTGACTGTGCTTGATAAAACCGAATTATATTAATTAACTGCAAATGAAGCTGTTCCTGGCTAGTTGGAAGGACCATTCGTTTCAGGAAATTAGATTCACTATCATTCATCTGACTGGCATGTGATTCGTTTCAGGTCAGCATTTCGTTGGTAAAGTAATCTGGGTGATCGGTGCGAGTAGTGGAATTGGTGAAGCTGTCTGCAAGCGATTAGCTTCAAATTATCAGTGCCGTCTTATTATCTCGGCAAGACGTGAAAACAACCTTGAAGTTGTTGCACGATCATGCACCAGTAATCATTTTTATCATCTTGAGAACTTTTGAGACGTGAATTTTATCAAACTGAATGTTTCATGTCATGTTTCTACTCAGTTAGAGTCAGTGGTGTCCCCAAATTTTAAATTCCGTTCTCAATTTTGGGATTTCCATTCTGGAAAAAGCACAAGATTTCGAGATTCCATAAAACATGACGTTTTGTACAATTTTGTTAAAATATTCATCCTGAACTACATATCAATCATTCTCGAAATGGTCATGATTTTGCAAATCCTAATATCCACTCGCTAGTTCCCACATTTTATCCTTTTCATGGGCTCGCACATTGCAGAATTTGGTCAGTTGTCCGCAGAAGATATTTACGTTCTGCCTTTGGATATTACCAAATTTGATACATTCGAACAGAAAGTGGATCTTGCGAATTCATATTTCAATCGTCATGTGAGCTTGTTTTATTCAGTCCTTGAAATCCTCAAAAGTCCTCGTTCTCGTTAATATGAAGCACGCAGGCAATTGATTTCCTGCGGAATCGCCTAGTTTTCAATAGACTGCTTCCTCCCTGAAAATTTTTGTTGAAAATGGAATGTGCATGTGAATGGCATCGAATGATCGATTTGAGTTAAATTTTGTGGAAAATCTCACTATGTTGTTCAGTGAACATTTCAGGTTGACATAATATTGCTGTGTAGCGGTCAATCACAACGTGCCGAATGGCATGAAGTAGAGGCAAGCGTGGATGAACAATGCTATCGAGTGAATGCACTCGGACCAACTGTTTTGTCACGTTTCGCAATTCGACACTACCAGAAACATTCCCTCAAATCAGAACTTCAATTCATTGTGATCAGTTCAATTTGTGGTATCGTTCCAGCCCCGTTATCGCCATCATATACGGCCGCAAAACATGCACTTATGGTAGGGTCGCTTTGACTTAACAAAGAAAGCATTAATTCTTTATAAAATGAACATTTTGGAATTCCAAAATAAATTTTTCTTCGAAACTAACAGAAATTAACAAAAACTAACAAAATCGTTCAGTCACCAGAACCGACATCGCTGTATTATCATTATGCTTCGCATCATTTCTATTGTTGTCAAGGAAGTACATCTGTTTATTAAAATAGTCTTTTCTTATTAATCATTAATTTGCTTGCTGCTGTATCATGTTCCATCGCCGAATTTCAGGGTTATTTCCGTCTTTTGAATCTCGAGTACTCGGACTCGAGGATCACTGCTACAATTGTATGTCCATCACTAACCTATTCACCCAATAATGTTTTCAATGCTTTCACAGGAATACCGGGAAAGGTAAACGATACGCCTTAATGTGATTACCTTTGAACTAGTAACTTGGTTGATCGTGAACGCCAGCAAGACACTAGTTAATCAGATTGTATAAAATGTTTCATTGGAGTCGTCTATGTGATATTCTTCAACATATTTCTATTTTGAAAAGATTCTTCAGTGGATATGATCGTGAAATTTTAGAGGAATGAAGAAATAATCACTGAACAGTCGGCAAAGCATATGAGTTGTGAGCGTGCAGCTGAACTGATCCTCGTGGCCGGTGCGAATCATCTTGCCGAAGTATCGCTGTCTAAAACCGCTTTACCGTTGCTATTTGCTTACTCGTTTACGCTCTTCCCGGACATAACTTTCAGGTGATAATTTATTTCCTCTCAATATTTCCCTTAATCATATTCATTCGTGTTTTGCCATCGAATTGTTTCTTGAAAATAATTTGATTCATTTCGATTCGGATTCGTTAATGACAGTTTCTACATACAAATCACTGGATTTTGCTAAAAGTCTTACGATAAAATAATATTTGGGTGAGATTTTCAGGATGATTCGTGCTATCGGCTCGAAGTATATTCGAAAAATGAGAACTGGTGCTGACTGAAGCGGAAGGGCATCCGTTGATAACACAGTGCTAGTGTTAATAGTCCCTTCAATAATGATAAGAATAACAACGACTGATAATAGGGTGGTTGAAACGATCGATGTCTTGTTACATCTGTGGTATATATTCGAATGAATTGAATAGTTTTGATGTACTCTGGTGAATAATATTGGAAATTCAAAAGCTAATAAATTCTGTTTCAAATCAAGCAAACATCACAAGAAATTAATCCTTTCATAATCTAAATCTTTTGAACAACCATGCGATTTTCGACAGGACTATTCAGAATAATGACTGAACCTTATTCTTCCTGTTCTAATCTAATCCAGTTCCTATAAATTTGTTGATTTACTCTCAAGCAGTAATGTTTTCAGTTTTCCTCCCAAATTTTCTACCAATTCAAAGCTTCGATCTTATCATTCCAATTCTTCGCAATTTTTAACTGTAAGACATACAACTGTTTGATGGAATAAAAAAGAAGAACAGTATCATTTTAGCATTGCAATGAATGCAAATTCATTTCTCCCTTCAGTTTGCAGAAACAACCAGTTTCTATATGACTGAAGATCAGTGATGTATCAT